GAAGAAATGTAAGGAAACTTGTTTTATGAGCGTCCACACAGATAGCATCTGAGAAATGCGCACCAACTCTTTGTTTTTTAAGTTATATTTTTATTAAATTATTATTTTACTTATGTTTTGTATCACCCCACTGGTGTTAGAAGCTTTCGGTTTGATCATGTGATTAGTCGACTATCACGTGACTCTTTTACCTATATCAGTATTACTTTTGTAAATTAGGTTTGTGTCGCAGTAGATATCACGTTAGCTGTATTTTGTTATTTCCCGAAATACGAAGATAAATGAATAAAATACGAATATATTTATCAATAAGTTTGTTATTGTTTATTCCTTTTATGTACAATGGCGTTGTCGAGTTGAGGAGTGAGACAACCAGTGGATGTGATTTTTGATCCAGTAAAATATACAGTATAGATTAATCAAAGAAAAGTGTATATATGATAAGTTGTTAAAACAAGAGAAGTTCGAGAGGCATTACTCTGTCCAAAATTGCTCGATCGCTCACCAAACAGATTTTGGCCTAGGAAATCCGTATACCAAATGTCATTTCGGTGTGTGTAACCTCTGCAAAGAAAATGAACGAAAACTATAGTTTTTCTAAGTCCAGGAGGCATAACTCTGTCCAAAATTGCTCGATCACACCCAAAACAGAACTTGACTTAGATATTCTCATGATAAACTGTATACTGAATTTTACTTCAGTATGTGCGTCCACAGGCTTTTGGATCGCTTAAAAAATTGTGTGTGTAAAAAAAAGATATTTTTTCACACCTCAATTTTTTTCGAAGCGATCTAAAGGCACGTGTGTGCAACTTAATCTGCATAGAAAATATCGTACCCAAAACAGCCTGAACTAGTTTTATAATATTATTATGATAAATATGATAATACCATTCATTTCACAATGTGCAACCTCTGCAAAGAAAGTGAACAGAAAGACAGACAGACAGCAGCAAAGCAATATGCCCTACCCTCTTCGAAGGGGGCATTGTATGTAATAGGGATTTGGTTTAATAGATGCAAGTTTCATTATTGATAAATCAAGTTTTCAAAGCTAAGCACGGAGACAGTCACAGGGACCGGTAACATACTATATTTGATTTTACGTAATCAATACAAATTCCTTTTTGTATACCCCGGTATATAGTGATAAGTTGATAACGTAAGCAATCACAAACACACGAAACTGGTGGATCCAGGAATCTTGAAAGAAGGGGGAGGATCGGGGTAAGGGCCCACAGCCACCGTGGCACCAAAAAAATGATTTATTAAATCTTATATGTACATGTATATTTTGGGCTCAAAAGGGGGGGGGGCTCCTGTCCCCTCTAAATCCGCCATTGCGAAATCGTTATTCAGAAAAAATAGAAATGGATAGTTTGTTAAATTTCAATTTTGTAATTTTTTCACTTTAAATTTTAATAGAGATATGAAAGAAAAGTTGTATTGGAGAGTTGGTTGTAAAGAATGGGGATAGCTAAAATGAAAACTTTGTTATAAATGTTTTTAGCAAATAAATAAATGCTTATAAAGTTATTTCGTTTTCTATAACATTGGCGTCGGAAGCAAATTGAAAGGGGGGGGGGGCTAAGTGTAAAAAAAATGTTTATACCTTTATACCTTCCACACAAAAAAACCTGACAAGCAAAAAAAAAAAAAAAAAGGGGGGGGGGAGGGGGGAATGTCCATTTCCCAAACACGAAAATCCTATTTCGTGCGGGGGGGGGGGGGGGGGGGGGGGTAAGTTCGATCTTCAGTACCAAAATTTTTTTCCAAAACACCACCACTTTCCCCATTCTTAACCTATGCTGTGTCGTGTCCGTGGAAAGTGGGGGGGGGGGCTAAACCTACGAAACAATGTTTAATGTCTATACTAAATCTATATTTGGAAAAAAAGTGGAGGGGCTAAGCCCCCCCCCTAGCCCCCCCCCTCCCCGGTTCCGACGCCTATGTATAATCTTTTTCGAGCTTGAAGGATTGGTGAGTTGCAATGTCGACTAAGCATTTGTACATGTTTTCGGATATCATTTCTCGAAAAATTGTTGCTTATATACTGACGAATGCTCGGGTATCAAAAAGATTTACTCTATCTGAAAATTTTATACAAGGTGTCTCTATTCGGGGCTTGGATAGAGTCTATAAGACCCCCCACATACACACCCACCATTACACTCACATATATACACGTTAAATCTGTCATTGCTGGTAGTGTAGTAGAGAAAGCTGCAGATCTGTAGCTCCCTGGTCTGAAAGAAAAATTCGGATGGGTGACTGGTCTGTCAATATTTTTTTCGGAGAGCTGCAGTTCTGCAGCTATAGCAGAAGTGCCATTAAGAGAAAATGTTTGGCTTTGAATCCCTTTTAAAACTACGATGTTATTAGGTACTTCAAGTTGAATGATAACCACTTTTGCTCGTTTGCTGAGATGGGCTTACACACAACACGACACAGTTAATTACTTTTTTTATAATATTTGTCGTATTTTTCTTGTTCTCCCGTCTGTAAACTTTACACATAAGCAACTTTTCAAAGGCTTTAAAATAGATTGCTTACTCTAAATCACTCATTGGGGGTACAACTTCAATTTAAGATATTACATGTATTATGCAATTATCCTATGGTTTGAGAATTTATGCATGTAGTACCTGATAGCACAATACAAAGAGAGAAAACTGCTACTTCAACTGTTGTTCCGCATTGTGTAAACTTGTCTCCCTATAGCTAGAAGAGTGGTCGTTCGGCATGCATTTAACAAAAAATATTTCAAGGGTTATTTCAATTCAAACATTTGTTCTTGATCTTTTTAGTAAATATCTATCATAATGGACAAACATTAGTGCAGGCGTTCAAAAATAATGAATTAAAAACGTTCCCTTCTCGTACTTATCCCAGTGATTGAGATAATAGTACAAAGCAATGGTAGAGAGTAACTTGGATCATAAAACAGTCTATAGATTCTCAAATCAACAATTCAGTCATTCATAAAAAGAATTAATTATTGTTGTATTACTGACACTTGGAAATTTAAACTAGAACTGTCCAAACGGGACAAAATACCCCCCGCTGGGTTTTTCAGAAGTAAACCAATAAAAAAAACATGAATTATGAAATTTTTCTTCCAGTTTGAGTTCCCCATACATCACGACACACCCTTGGGTCATGGGCAATCTTTGTGTGAAATGGGATATCAAGTGACCTTGAACTTCCCCAAATGACCTCATTCTTTATGTGAAATGAGAACCTACCAAGTTTATCCATAAGAAAGATATGGACCTGACAAAAATTATGAATTTTACTTTCAAATTCCAATGCTTCCCAAAAAATCATGGAAATCTTTGTGTGAAATGAGAACCTACCAAGTTTATCCATAAGAAAGATATGGACCAAACACGAATTATGAAAAATGTGAAGTTCCCAAAAATCTCAATCATGACATCCTTGGGTCAATCTTTGTGTGAAATGAGAACCTACCAAGTTTATCCATAAGAAAGATAAAGACCGGACACATTTTTCTTCCAGTGACCTTGAACTTCCCCAAATAAAAGGTCATGAACTTCATTCTGAAAAAAAATTTACGAAATTTTTCTTCAAAAAACCCAAGGTTGACACATTTGAGCAATCTTTGTGTGAAATGAGAACCTACCAAGTTTATTCTGGACCGGACACGAAGAAACAGTGTCAATCCCAAAACATGACACACCCTTAGACATCTAATGTCCCTCTGTAAGAAAGATATGGACCGGACACGATTGCACAGACAGACGGACAGACAGACAAGGTGATTCCTATATACCCCCCCAAACTTCGTTTGCGGGGGGTATAATAAACATTATTAGAAAAAAAACGTTTTAAAATGATTTAATGATGAACCCGAAGACAATGTACAAAAAGAAAGAGGGCGTATAAGGCGTGTACAATCCCCCGCTCTGAGACAAAATGTTTCTCAATTTTCAAAATTCACAAAAAAGTTATATTTTTCTAAAATCATGTTCTCAGTAATGTCATCTCCAAAACATTTTATTATTTTATTTAACAAAACGACTTATCATTTGATAATCTTTATTTCAAAGTTGACAGTTAAGCATATTTAGTGGAAAATGGGTTTAATAGAGCTATAAAAAAAGAATTTTGAACATGAATGGGTCAAGTCTCCATTCTTTGTGAATGCTTAAATGATGGAAATGTAAATGTGAAATCTATTTCATTTGTCAAAAAAATGGAATCTGAACCCATTCTATGTGAAAATCGAACTTTTCTGAAAAAATTTACGCTTCAACAAACCCGTTCATTTAAATCACACTGAAAGACGTCAATAATACATGTACTTCGTAGCATAGTGGTTAAAGCGGTTGGTCTTGGACCAAACCTGCGCTATGGAGAGAATTCGAATCATACATGAAGCTTTTTCTTTTTTTTTTTTGTTTTCAAATGTCTTAAAAACATGAGTAAAAAATAAATTATTAATAAATTATTAAAACAATGAAATACAGAATTTTATATGTAAAAGATGATATAAACCATAAAATTTTGAAAAAATATTACTTTTAGAATTGAGAAATGTCTTTTTTCAGAGTGGGGGATTGTCTGCGCCTTGAACGCCTCCATTCTTTTGACTAGAAGTTTAAAGTGCTTTATGTTCTTGGGGCCTGAATTCCTCATACGATCATAATTTGGAGAGGGTCAAGAAAATGAATCCAACTTTAAAAAAAAAAAAAGTTTCTATGCCTTCTCCCAACTCAGCATAAAAGAGTGGTAAGTAGTAGGTATACTTCAATTTCAATGCTAAATTTTCAAAATTTATTGAAATGAAGGTTAAAATAAAATTCAAAACTTAACACATTTGTTGACAGCATGAGAACAAATTTGGAATATTACAATAAAAAAAGTTGTTTCTTGAAAGTTTAAAAAAAAGTTTTGAGTTGGGCCCTTTTCAGTCAATACATGTAGGATGGGTGAAGGTACATGTAAGATATCATTATGCATTGAAATATTAAAGTATAAAGAGATTCTAACATTTTAATTGAGACAAAACTTATAAACATGGTAAAAAACAGTAAATAATATGTACACACAATATATATACAAATGTACAGCCAGGAGAGTTAGATTTTCTGGAGAACACGGTTCTGTTTGATACGAGTTTGTCTGAGCTGTAACTGCTGTTGGAGCTGTTCAGGAAGTTCAGGGTTGGTAAAATAATCTGGAAAAAACATATTATCAATCACCAGTTTTAAAGGCTTTTATAAAATATACAAAAAAAATTTAAAATTAATTTTCCTCAACAGATTTCTTTACCTGCTGCAAAATCTTTGATGTGTTCTGGTCGCTGACTGAGGACATCACTGAAAGAGAAGAAAAAAGGAACTCAAAATTTTACCAGCTCCTTTTACTACTGTTCTGGTATTTGACAGTACTTAGCAGTTTGAATCACTTCTCCCATCTTTATTAACCTTATTTTCTACTGTGTTTTGGGCTTAAGCTAATCTTAACATAATGCATAAATTTTGTACACAAAATTTCACTTTTAATTAATAAATTTATCTCATTTTGTCAATTTTCTGAAAATTCAATTTTATTTCAAATTCTATAGAGATTGTATAAATACTGACAAAAAAGGGGTGATCTTTTTCCCAAAATTCATTATTTATTGAGTTTCACTTTGAAAAAAATTCGCAGAGACTTAAACTTTCAACTTACAATTGTTTGCAGTGTTAAATAAGACAAAATGTGATGGTTAAAAGATTTAGGAAGAGGAAAAAGACATTGGATGGTAAGAAAAAACTTTAAAATTGCAGCTTGTGATGGTCCAAATTCAAAATGCCAGTTTGTTTTTCATTGTCATAAATAAACAGGATCAAAAAATCAAGATAAAATCGAAACTTATGCAGTATCTTGGTTTACAGCAAATGGTTTGCCTTATAATGCAAAGGTTACATGCTTATATACAAAAGTTTTCTATTTATTAGCAAAAGTTACTCCTTTATTCATTAAAGTAATGCATTTATTTATGTAAACTTTGCGTAATTATGCCAGTCCTTTCTTGCTTTTTTCTGTCAAGTAAAAAAAAAAAAAAATGAATATCTTTTCTTGGTAGAAAGAAGAGGCCAAGTGATTTCGAAATGCTTCAGAATATATTTTTTCAGTTTCTGTGGTTAATACACTTTCAAGAAAATGTCACAGGTTCTCAATATGTTTAAAAATGCCAGTTAACGAAGCTATCCTTCTCAAAATTCATTAGCCATAACACTTGCTAAGAGGAAATTTCTGTATCCGTTGACCGAATAGGATAAAGCCTAAAGGCTAGGGAAGGGGTAACCAGAAACAAATGTACAGAATAACTTACCCAAGAAAACCTGCTATGAGGCATTCAACTTCAGGGTGATCTCTTAGATATTTCTCATTTTCCATTCGTGTCTTGACCTTTCAATTTAAGGAACATTCAAACTTGTTTATTCTCTAACTAACAAACATAACAAGTCATTAAATAATTAATATTTTAACTGAGGATTTTCGGACTGAATATAAATATGGCAAGTTTACTTATTGATAAACATTTATGGATTATGTGTGCATTACCTTGAATTTATTGAGTTTCTCTTGTTGTTCCTGACTTAGAGCACCTAGATTATTTTCCCCTCCAAGATCGTATGGCTCCATACCATGAGGAGGTCTGTGTTGTGGTTTGTCCGCCATCGCTAAGGAAAAATAAACAGGATATGCTGCGAGTTGTCTTTCCTTCTTTTATGTGTTAAGCGCGCCCTCTGGTAGAGGTAAGATTTGGTGGTGGATCAAAGTTCCAAATAATGTAAAATTAATGATGTTTCTTGTTGTTCGATTGTTATGCGCCCGAATTTTTTCGGGGCGCATATTGTTTTGTCCTGTCTGTCTGTTTGTCTGTTTATCTGTTTGTCTGTCTGTTGTCAACTTTAACCTTCGCCATAACTTTTGAACCGTGAGAGATAGAGACTACATATTTGGTATGCATACTCCACTAATTAAGCACTTTCATCTGACACCAAGGTCACTGACCTTTTCACCTTGACTGTGACCTTTATTCTAAAAATAGCTTTTTCGAACTTTCGCCATAACTTTTGAACCATGAGAGATAGAGACTTCATATTTGTAATGCATACTCCACTAGTTAAACACTTTTAACTGACACCAAGGACAATGACCTTGTGACCTTAACTGTGACCTATATGCTAAAAATAGATTTTTCGATCTTTCGCTATAACTTTTAAACCATTTGAGGTCGAGACTTTATATTTAGTATGTAGACTTCACTAATTAAGTGCTTTCAAACGATACCAAGGTCAATGACCTTGTGACCTTGACTGTAATCTATATGCTAAAAATAGCTTTTTTGAACTTTTTGTCGCCGGGCGCATAGTGTTTCACAAACACATCTTGTTTTATTCTGTGTTTAACTTGAATTCAAATTCATCGACGGAATAAAAAATAATACCTATAAAATCAATGTTTCAATTACAAGGACTGGAAGGGGGGGGGGGGGGTTAAAACATCTTATAAAAAAAATAAAAGTTACAAAGTCAGAGTTAGTCAAATGAGTTTTTATTTTATAATTACTTACTTACTTATGCCTGCTACCCCTTTTGGGGAATATGCCGCTTACAACATCCCTCCAGGCTCTCTATCTCATGTATCTCGAGCAATGCTTTCTATACCTTCTTCCATGCAGTAATTCTCCCCCATTCTTTTGACGTCTATCCCCCAATTTCTCCGCCAAGTGTTCTTTAGCCCCCTCCCCCCTCTCTTACGTTTTCCTTGGGGGTTCCAGGATAGGGCTTGCATTGTGATGTTCTTATGTGGCTTGCGTAGAGTAAGCCCTATCCACCTCCACTTTCTCTGCATTATTTCTGCTTCTATAGGTGTTGAAAATCCTAAAGTACTTTGGTGCGTGTTGTTAGTCCCTTGGTCTTCCAGATGTTTCCAAGTTGCAGGAATCCTACTCTTGCCTTTCCTATTCTTGCTTTTATGTCAGCTTCTGTTCCTCCTTGTTGGTCCACTATACTGCCAAGGTAGGTGAAATATTCTAATTCCTCTATTTCATGACCTTCTATATTTAATGGAGCATGTGATGGTGTGTTTGCTCTCAAGATCTTTGTTTTTGCGATATTGATGTTGAGTACTATCCGTGCTGATAATTCTGCCACTATTGTAATTTTTCTCCTGCATTTGTGCGTGGGTATGTGATAGGAGTGCCAGGTCATCCGCAAAGTCTAGGTCGTCTAGCTGTGACCATGGCGTCCACTGTAATCCATTTCATCTATTGTCTATTGCAAGAAGAAACAGAAGGGATGACAAAAATCATCCCTGACAGACTCCTGTTTTTACTTCGAATGGTTCCGTCAGTTGTCCTCCATGTATGACAATGCATGTCATGTGTTCATAAGTGTTGCGGATGATATTTACCAGTTTAAAAGGAACTCCATAATGTCGCAGAAGTTTTCATATTGTCTCCCTGTCAACACTGTCAAAGGCTTTCTCGTAATCTATGAAGCCTACATAGAGGGAGGAGTTCCATTCAGCACATTGCTAGATGATAATGCGCAACGTTGCTATCTGGTCCGTACAAAATCTGTTTTTACGAAATCCAGTTTGCTGGTCACATAACTTATCATCCACTTCTTCTTTCATTCTGTTCAGTATGATCCTGTTAAATACCTTCCCTGGAACATCCAAAAGTGTTATTCCCCTACAGTTAGCACAATCGCTGAAGTCTCCTTTTTTGGAAGCTTGATGAGATATCCTTATTTCCATTCTTCTGGGATTGTTTCTGCCTCCCATATTTTCAGAAAAAGTGGGTGGAGTATATTGGCTGAGTTGTCAAAATCAGCTTTGAGTGCCTCGGCCGGAATATTATCAGGCCCTGCTGACTTGTCATTCCTCATCTGTTTAAGGGCTATTTTGATTTCCTCCTTAGTAGGAGATCCCCAGTCTATGTCTAGTTCTTCGTCTGTTGGTGTAATGTTAGGAGGGTTAGGTGGAACTGGCCTACTCAAAAGTTCTTCAAAATGTTCTTTCCATCTCCTTCTTTTTCCCCTTGTTGTTTCCCTATTTTGTCTTTCAATGACCTTTCTTGTTACTTCGCTTCCCAGCTAGATTCTTTGTGATGTGATACAGCTCTTTCATGTTTCCTGCTTTTGCATTTTGTTCTACTTCTGTTGCTAGTTCCTCGATGTACCTTCTTTTGTCAGCTTTTTTTTTTAATCTTTTATTACCTCTCTTGTATTCTTTTGTCAGCTTTAATACTTTGTTTTTTTCACTTGTTGGCCTCTGCGTACTCTTTTTGCTTTTGCTGTTTCAGCTCTTGTTCTGCTTGAATTGACCACAGCCCTCTTATCCTTCCTCTTCTGTACTTTCTTAAATGTGTCATTTGTGGTCCATTTTTTATGATGATACTTTTTCACTCCAAGTATTTCATGGCAGCTTTTATTATTGTGATGGTTTTTTTTTATTCCTTTCCAATGATCTTCAACTGTTGTTAGTTCACCTATTTCCTGTAGGGCTTGGTATTTGTTATTCACCGCAATCTTGTACTCCTGTAAGATTTGAGTATCTTAGAGAAACCTGGCGTTATATCTGATTCTCTGAGAGTTTCCTTCTGTTTTCATTTTCTTGAGCTTTAGTTTGATGCTGCCTGTCAGTAGATGGTGATGCTGAGGCTACATCTGCTGCTCGTTTGACTCTGGTATCCTACAAAGATCTTCTTAACTTTTTATTGATACATATATGGTCTATCTGATTTTCAATTATCTGGTCTGGTGATACGCAGGTGGCTTTGTGGATTCTTTTGTGTTGGAATAAAGTGCCACCAATAACTAGTTTGTTGCATGCACATAAGTTTGCTAATCTTTCACCATTTTCATTCATTCGGCCCAGTTCATGCTGTCCCATGACTTCGCCATATCCGGTGTTATCATTTCCAGTATTTACATTAAGGTCTCCCATCATGATGGTAACATCTCTTTCTCTACTGATGTCAACAACGCTTTGAAGTCTGTTGTAGAACTCATCTTTTTTTCTTCCTCAGTATCATTTGTTGGAGCATAGCATTGTATAATATTTGTGTTAATCCTTTAGGTTTTGTTTTAATTTTTAAAGATGCCTTTATGATCCTTGGGCCATGTGCTTCCCAGCCTATTATGCTTCCCATGCTGTTTTGGATATCATGAGTGCCACTCCTTGAGAATGCGGTGAATTTTCTTCTTCATGTCCGGAATAGAGGAGTGATTCACCTGTAGGAAGTCTGCACTATCCTGATTGAATCCATCTTGTCTCACTTATGCCAAGCAGTGTAAGATTGTAGTTTCTCATCTCTGCTGCAATTTGTGCCGTTTTTCCCTGCTTCGTACATGGTTCTTACGCTCCAAGTTCCTAGATTGATAATTCTGGGTCCGAGAAGGGGTTTCGGCTTTGTATTTTCCTTCTGTCTCTGGCTTTCACCACATGTCGTCCTTCGTCTTCCTTTTGGAAAACCTTCTCTTCCAGAATTTGAGCAGTCTCGACTAAATCTTGTTTGCGTTTCTGTAGCGGTTGTTGTTTTACATGGCGGGGGTGCTAACCCTACACACAACGCCCTTGACCCGGAGGGCCGGTGGTTTTCCTTTGGGATTTTCCTTCCCCTAGTCACAGGTTTCAGTTATTTAAAGGCGCCAAAGACTCGCCTTTTTACCACTGTCACTCAGCTACCTAAGCATTTTCAGGGTCACCAACAGGAGGTGTGACATGTGACTTGCTGGCAGAACCTATTTGAGACGGTAGGCATTAACTCGAAGTTTTTATAGTGTACATTAGTGACATCAGTTACACCCTTCGAGACCTTCGAGACCTTTACCAGCCTTTGACCCCATTTTTTTTTAATAATTAGTCGTAAGATTTTATTGGAAAGGATTGCCATTTGAAGGATTTTTTAAAAATCAAATTCACTTGCAAGATCAAAGATGATAAACAGCAAACACTAAACTGTTAATTTACCACGGGTTGTTGTGAACAGGATCTCTCCCCCTCCCCATTTCCTGGACAAAAGCTTTTTTCTATGCCTTCTTTCAATTAATTCTTATTCAATACACCACAGGTATGATTTTAAAAAATAAATGAACAGAACGTTCAGTCTAGACGCGTATAACCAAGGGAAAGGGGGGTGTTGTTGTTTACCGAGTATAGAGTTTTTTACTACATTTTTCTTTAAGGTCATACGCAACGTAGTTTATACTTTATTGGGTTCTTCTCTGGAGTTGAAGAGGTCCACTAAATGAAGGACCTGTGTGCAATGTTTTTATTGTCTATATGTGGATTTGTAATTCTCTTCAAAACAATTTTGATGGAAAAAAAATTTTGGAATTTATGTTTTATAATTTCTGTACATTTTTCTTTGAATAATGCAAAAAAAAAAAATTTCAAACTTTAATACCTTTTCAAAATCCCTGGAAATGCATGCTGATTTTTTTTCTAAAAATATATAATATGGTACATGTATTATAAATTTAAGTATCTTGAAAAATTATCAGTTGGTAAGGTACCTTGCATATGTCCTTAACTAACAGTTTTTTTTTTTGAAAGTTGCTTTCCTTATGAAAATGTTCGTATTTGGTTGCGACTAGAAAGGATATCTCAATTTACTCAACCAAGAGACTTTTGAAATCATAAAAATGTTCATTCTTTTAAGTTTGCACTCATTTGATTCCTCAATGTATAATGATTATCA